GCGCCAGGTCGCCCTCTTCGGCGTCGGGGTCGCCCTCCGGCGGCAGCGCCGCGCACTCGGCCACCGGCATGACTTCTCCCCGGGCTCGTCGTCCGGCAATTAGACGGGGTCCCGAGAGCGCAGTCTACTGACAAGTGAATGCCACCTGTTCCATTCCCGACGAGCGCATGACGATGCCTCCTCCTCTTCCTCCTCCTCTTCCTCCGCGCTCACCGAGGGTGACTCGCCTTTCGGCCGCGGGATTAATGTCTGCGCGAAAAAGTGAAACGCGCAAACGAGGTCTTGGCTTCTGTGCGTGTGCGCGTGTGTGGGAAAGGGCTCGCGCTGCCGGTTTGCGGTTCCAGCTTTGAAGAACTCGAGACTTTCCCGGTTCGGTTGAAGGAGGGAGAGGCGTTCCGGGGCGGGCGAGCGTCACCCGATTAGCCAACCGGCGGCGAACTAGGCGGGAGTTAAGGCGCCAAGCCAATTAGCGTCGGCGAGGGCGTGGCTTTTGAATGCCAGAAACGCCAGGAAGAAAAACACATGCCCACCCCCGATCTGAAATAAACACAGAAATGAAGCCCGTGAACAAAGAACACATCGGTCGAAATACTGACGCGATAGATGCTAGATTTTTTTAAATTAAATCGTCATTTGTGGGATAAAGTATGTTGTTCTGAGGGAGAATTCATTAAAATATAAGATTTCAGAATTTAGGATGGGGGGAAAATGTTTTTTTTTTTTAAGATTTTGTTTACATGAGAATAATATTTTTTTTACAAGGAAAAAGGCCTACTACGACGAGCATAGGAATGTTTGTTTTACATTTGTCCGATAAAAAATATTTTTCAAAAAAGTTTTTAAAGAACAAAGAACACCAGAAGAAAAACATTTCCCCCCCCAGACGAAAACTGCATAAAGAGGCATATTTTGCCTTACGTGATACATTCATTTTGATTGATTCAATAGTCTTGTTTATTTTCGAAGGGAAAAAGTTTTTTAAAATAATAGCAATCGAGAAAATATGTACATTTATGCGAATCCAATTATAGACACAGAGTGTGTAAATGAATCCACGCAAACGGCAATTGGAGGCTTCAATCCAAACAAACGCGCACCGGCAAAAGTACGAGTATACCGCCATCTATTGACGTGGTAGTGCATTGCAGTTGAGACCACGGACTCAATGAAATGAAAACAGTCGATCGTCCATCTTTCCTCAAACAGTATTTAATCACAAGAACACCATAGTAAAGGTACAACACGCGGCGCAGACGGGAAATCCTTTAACAAGAAAAAAATGTGAATTGGCATCAATCCTTGAACAATCAACACAAAGAGTAAGCTGGCAGTAAATTTCAAATTGGCGAATTTTGGGTGGCGTAAAAGCAGCTCACTCCTGGATTTCTTTTTTCCCCGAACTAGCTGTGAGGCATTTTGGGGCTTTTAATTTTTATTCGAAGGTACATCTTTGTTGGGGGGGAGAGTGTATTGTGAGAATAATATTTGAGGAAAATAAGTCATAACATTACCGGAATAAATTTGTTGTAATATCAAAATAAATTCGTGTTTTATCCCAAGAAAAAGGATTCAACTTGTACTTTTTTTTTTTTTTTTTTTGAAGGGGGTAGGGTCCTGATATTCTGAACA